GCAACCAGAGTGCTCCTTAGAAGCCAAGATGGCCAAACTTCGTCTCTCATACTTTGGACATATTGTCAGAAGGGAGCAGTCGCTGGAGAAGGATATCATGTTTGGTAAGGTGGAGGGTCGGAGGAAAAGAAGAAGACCCCAAACGAAATGGATTGGCCAAGTGGCAGCACCAATGAACTCAAGCGTGGCAACAGTAGTGAGGTTGGCCCAGGATTGGGCAGTGTTTTGTTCTGATGTGCATAGGGTTGCTATGGGTTGGTACCAACTTGATGGCACCTAACAACAACAACAATGATAGATAGATAGATAGATTGATAGATAGATAGATAGATAGATAGATAGATAGATAGATAGATAGATATAATTTAAACAATATTGTTCTATTGTTCAAATTAGGAGTCCTGGTGTGGCGCTGTGGTTAATGTGCTGGACTGCAAAGTCAGTTGGAACCACAAGGTTGGTGGTACAAGCTCCTTAAAAACCCTATATAGGATCGCAATGGGTCGGAACTGACTTGACAGCACTTAACAACAACATTGTTTAAATTTATGCATGAACTACTAAAACCAGTGATGATGAAATTGAAGAATCCTACTGACTTCTTCAGTCTGAAATTGATCAAACATGCAGTCAAGATGCATGGATAATTTTTGATGACTGGAATGTGAAGGTTGGAAACAAAGCTGTCAGCTAGAGGACTAAGGTGGGCCTTACCAAATATATACAAACAAACAAATAAATATTGAACAACAGTGGTACTCAGATATAGAGAGAGAAAGTGAGAGTGAGAGAGACATAGAGACACAGAGAGAGTGAAATTGGGGGTGGGTTGTATCAAGGAAAAGGCCCACATAGTTGGAGAAGTGAGCAAGTTCTAAGTCTGAGGCAGATGTCAGGCTGATGTTTCTTCTGACACTCAGCTGCAGGGGCTGATGAACCCAAGATCAGCAGGTCAGATGGCAGGCTTCTAGCTGCAGAGATGAATGAATCTAAGGTCAGCAGGTAAGATGCAGGTAGTTGATGACTTCTAGTATCAATAGGCAATCTGGTAGGCCACGGGCTCAAGTCCAAAGAACTGGAGGTCAGATGATAAGCCAGATGCAGGATTAAAACCCAGCAAGAAGCAAGCAAACTGCCTGAATATCCAATATATTGGAAGCAGGCCACACCTCTGAGGAAACTTCCTTTCAATTGATTGGCTGCTTATATCAGATCTCATCATGGAAGTGATTATATTAGAGCTCATCATGGGCATTACTGTGCCCTAACTACTGAACCACTGAGAATCCTGGCCCAGTCAACGTGACACAAAACCTTACCTGCCACATTGGCCTTCTATGGCTACTTGTCACTGAGATCACTCTTGTTTTCAGTAATATCCTTAAGCATTAATTTGTCTGTGCATAGCTCCAAATCACATCATTCCACCTCCAGCAATGGGCTTCCCGACCTGATCATCTGTCCCAGTCGGGTAGAATGACTCTTTTGATAGAACTGGGTGACGAAATTGGAGCAATAACTGCCTTCCTCAGGTCCCAGCCTTGACCTGGTGTAAGGGCTGTGACCTGTATCAACTTTTACCCTGCAAGAGAGCAGGACCTCAGTACCACCAAGAAAGGAGGGCCAGGGCAGAGTGCATCCTTCGGACCCAGGGTCCCTACATTGAGAACCTTCTAGACCTAGGGGAAGATTGATGCCAAGACACATGGAGATCTCCCAGGAACGCTGGACCCACAGATGGTAGGAGACAAGGACACTCCCCAGAGCTGACACAGAGAAAGCTTTCCCCTAAACTTCTCCTAAACTGTGACAGAATAAATTTGTTTGTTAAAGCCATCTACTTGTGGCATTTTGTTATAGCAGCACTAGAGAACTAAAACACTATTCCAACAAACTAATCTTCATTTGTTCTTTGATGAATTATTTAAGAAGGAAGTCCCTGTTGTGTGGGAGGCATTATGCTAGTTTTTGTTACAGGTTCTGTGAGCAATACTAAGTCCCTCAAGGGCTCATGGTCCAAAAGGGAAAACAAGACATATGCAGAAATAACCACACTAAACTATAGTTCTTTTACAAAAGCAATAACTACAAAAAATATACAAAAGAGCTTAAAAAAAGATCTGCAGTCTAAGTATTATGAGCAATCAGGGAGTGGTAAGCTTGTTGGAAGAATGGAGAAAACTGGAGTCTACTGAATCAGAAATGAAGCTTGTTGGAAGCATATAGGCTTGCAACAAGAGTGGAACTTCTCCAACACAAAATCAATGTTTTTTTCTAATCAATTATTTTCCAAAACATTGTCACATTCATTAATTCACCTGAGCTTCATGACAGCACAGTCATGTGAGTGAACCATGCCACAAGTGGGCACTCCAACCCTCAGTCGATCTGCCCAAGTTAACGCCATGCAGAGTAGAGACACGTGGCACACCTTCTTCTCCAAGCACGCCTCTGAGTTTTAAAATCGACTTCTCTTCAGTGTTATTCCAGCACATATTCTTGTCTTCTTCATAATCCTGGCTTTCCTTGACGGCTCTTTTTTCTTTTACCTGTGGACTGAGGTGGAGTTTCCTTCCTTCAACATGATCCTACTTGTATATTGCATTTATCTTTTTTTTTTTTCATTTTCTATCTTTCTCCTCTTTGGTAAAAACAGCTAGCTGTGGTCGTGTCTATCTATTCAGTTCTTTTTCCATTTTTGCCTAGCAGGAGCCAAGTAGACAAACTGTTTATCATAGTTGTCTATATTGCCACTCCCAGTGTTAGGCTGGTAAGAGTAGACTCCATCTAGAACATTGCTGATAGTCATGTCCGCAAACATTTCTTTTGAAAGTTTTTATTGTGAATTGAGTGATAGTTTCCATGGGAGAGCATCAGCTTTACATTCATCCTATCGTATTTTGTTTCACTGCAATGACTACATCGTATTTCGTTTCATTGCAATGACTACAATCCCCTCCATACATCATCATTCAACAGCATTTGCTTCCATTCCCTCTGGTTTTTTTAGACATACATCAAAGCACTCAGGAATATATAACCATTCAAACAACCAAAGGTCATACCATGCAAGCCTGGCCCCTGGTAGTCAGCACACAGCCCCTCTTCCTCTCTGGGTCTCAAGTCCCCAGCCACTCCACCTCCATCTCTGGCATCACTGTTTCTCTGGGTAGGGTCCCACACTCCTCTCTTTTCCCTTGATGGTCCCAGGGTCCTCCGCTGCTGGACTGCAAGATCAACCACTCCCCTCCTTTAAGCAGTTAATTTTTAAAGTAAAAATTCTACTACTATTTTCTAATTGTTTCAAAATAATTAACTATTTTTATCCATATTTTTCCATTTATTTTGTTTTATTGTTATTTTTTTATATCCTAAAACTATACTTAGAGTTTTCTTTCTTTTAAAAATATTAAAGCCATTTTACTGTAATTCTAATGCACGTATGGTACATCAACTGTTTTTGTCTTTGATTATTTTTTGGGTGCGTTTATGTTCATAAGCAAACTGCTAGTCTTGAAAGGTATGGATAAATACTTCTGCTTCTCTCAAATCCCTCAGATGTAGCACAAAACTGAGTGCTTGACGGTGCTCAATTAGTACTGTACTGATTGCATTCAAAAACAAACAAACCCCAAATCTCTATTCTCCAAATGTTAAGGCCTTCTTTTGAGACTATAACAATCAAATAAAAAACACTGTCAAATATGAATGCTTAATACCTTTGGAGCTGCCAGCCCAATTCTTTTCACAAGTATGTCATTAACTCAAATAACCATCAAATGAGTCTTATTCTAACTAAAAATCATTCAAGGTTAAATATTACTTGATGGTAAGGAAGTTCAGTGTTTATTATTCCTCAGGATAGCCAAGGAATTAACTAAGCAGGGCCAAAATTTGAAAAGGATGATACTCACCTATACTTTCAAATTTAACTAGAAGATTGATTCCAAACTGCATTGCAACATTTGATAAAAGGCAGGAAAACAGTTTAGTACGGAAAGTCATCCGAACATAGTGAGGACTTATGACAAAATACAGGAGATAGGATGCAAAGTAGATGAAACCTCCAATGGCAGTAGCTGTGCTTGCTGCAAATTTGAAGTAAAAGAATGAAAAATATTAAAACACACAAAGACAGGACTCTTTTTCTGGCTATATCACATTGAATTTTATATCTGTTCAGCTGGAAAATTCGTCATTTGTGGTACTGAGAGTTATTTCTGGAAATCACACTTCTAGAAAACACTTGTATCCATTAAAATAAGGAGTCAAATTATGTTCCTAAGAATTTATTTAAAGAAAACAATAATTTCAGAAGTTTGAAAAGATCTATACAAAAAGATATTAATGTTCACCTTTAAAAAAAATAGTATCAATAGGCAAGAGAGCTGGCAGCCCAGAGGCAGTCTTGCAGAATGTGCCCTGTGGTGGTGTAAATGATTATATATGCCTGAGTATTTAAAAACAAAAAAACTGTGCAAAAGTGAATAGAGAGAAATACTGTTAACTGATGGTACATGGAGGGGATTATAATCATTGTTACAAAAAAAGTATATGATTTGTTGAATATAAAACTGATGATCTGCCCTTTAAACCTTCACTCAATTCACAATAAAAAGTTAAAAAAAAAAAAAAAAAAGTATCAGTAGGGACCTGATTAAGGAAATAATAGTACCACAAAAGACTACAATGTAACTATTAAAATGAAGATATATAATTACTCATTTATTGAAAGGGTTAAGTTAAAAATAGAATATATCATATCATTTAAGGAATATCCTACATGTCTGTGTAATAGAAAGGTATCAATATAAAGATTTTGAAATATTAACAGTTATCATCTTTGAATTCAATTTTTATATAATTTACTTCCTTTAAAACAGTTACATGTCTGAAAATTCAGTAGTAAAAATTAGCTGGAGAGAAATAAAATCTCATTTAGGAAATTAGCATAATATTTGTTAAATGCTTAAAAAAAAGTGGATTTTGAAAGCCATCTTATTGGGGATATAGGTTTATAGTATTCTATAGTTTTGTTTTGTTTTCTATTTACAATTATGCAAAAGTAGATCTTGATTTGCCTTTATTATTTCCTACACATTTCTCATTTCAGCCAAGTATACAGTTTACCTTCTCCGTACCAGCGATTCTAAGACAGCAGTCTTTTATTCATTTCCCGTAGAAATGGATGCTTGAAATAACTAACCCTTGTTGGTTTTTTTAACTCTTTTTCTTTGGCTCTTTTCTTATGTAAAAGTAACCTCTCGGTTTGTTCTTTTTGTCCATTCTCTACTTGTTGAGTCTTTTTTTTTTTTTTTCAGTTTTGGTGAAAATATTCACAGCAAAATTCACTCCATTCCAGTTTCTAGATATAATGATCAGCAACACTGGCTATATTCTTCGCATTGTGTCCCATTCTCATGATTTCTGTTCTAGTTTTCACCCACTACTCCTCTGCCACTTTGTGCACTGGGGTGGCTTGCATGCATGTTGCTGTGATGCTAAAAGATATGCCACCGGTGTTTTAGATACCAGAAGGTGGAGAGGTTTCAGAGCAGTGTCCAAAGACAGACTAGGAAGGAGAGACTGCATCTGACTCTTTCACCACTGAAAACCTTATGAATACCAAGGGAACACTGTCAACTATAGTGCTGGAAGATGTGCCCCTCAGGTTGGAAGGCACTCACTATACTACAAAGGAAGACCTGCCTCCTCTAAGAAGAGTTGACCATAATGACGCAAATGCAGCAAAGCTTTCGGGACCTTCATTTGCTGATGATGCACAAATCAAAATAAGGAGAAACATCTGCAAACATCCTGTAATAATTAGAACATGGAATTTACGCAGTATGGATCTAGGAAAACTGGAAGTTGTCAAAAATGAAACGAAATGCATAAACATCACTCTCCCAGGCATTAATGAACTACAATGGACTGATATTGGCCATTTTGAATCTGACAATCATATGCTTTACTATGCCAGGAATGACAAGCTGAAGAGGAATGATGTCACATTTATCGTTAAAAAGAACATTTCAAGATCTATCTTGCAATACAATGCTGTCTGTGACAGGGTAATAGCCATATGCCAACATAGAAGACCAATTACTTCCACTATTATTCAAATCCCACTACACCTCTATCAGACGGTCGCACTGGGGTGGCTTGCGTGTCGCTGTGATGCTGGAAGTTATGTCATATGTATTTTGAAGGTTGGCAGGGTCACCCGTGGTAGACAGGTTTCAGCTGAGCTTCCAGACTAAGACAGACTCAGAGGAAGAAGAGGCAAACTACCGCCAAACATTTAGCCACTGAGAACCTTATGAATAGCAGTGAAACACTGCCAGATAGCACCAGAATAGTGACTACTGAAACACGACTAGTAAATAAATAGTACCAGAGTCTTGTCAGCTAGAGTGCCAGAAGATGAGCCCGGCAGGTTGGAAGGCACTCAAAATACTCAAAGTAGAGTTGACTGTGGTGATGTGAATGGAGTAAAGCTCTCGGGAGCCTTATTTGCTGATGGGGCACAACCCAAAATGAGGATAAACAAATGTAAACATCCATTAATTATCAGAATATGGAATGTACAAAGTATAAATGTAGGAAAACTGATGTTATAAAAAATGAAATGGAACACATAAACAACAACATTATAACATAAATGAAGTAAAGCTTTCAGGACCTTCATTTGCTGATGGAGCACAACTCAAAATAAGGCGTAACAGCTGCAAACATCCATTAATATTTGGAACATGGAATATGTGAAGGAAAAACCTAGGAAAACTGTAAGTTGTGAAAATGAAATGAAAAACATAAACATTGATATCCTAGGCATTTGGTGGTGGTGGTGGTGGTGGTGGTGTTAGGCACTCTCATGGTGTTACACACACTCATAGTGACCTAATGCATAGCAGAATGAAACACTACCCTATCCTACAACAATCTCACAATCATTACTATGCTTCAGCCCATTGCTGCTGCCTCTGTGCCAACCCATCTCATTTGGGATCCTCCTCTTTTTCACTGCCCCTCCACTTTACCAAGCATGATGTCCTTTTCCAGTGACTGGTGGTCCCTTCTGGTAATACGTTTGAATTATGAGAGACGAAGTCTGGCCATTCTGGCTTCTAAGGAACATTCTGGCTCTATTTCTTCCAACACAGATTTGTGTGTTCTTCTGTCAGTCCACAGAATTTAAATATTCTTCTTCAAAACCATAACTCAAGTGCAT